AAAAGAGGTGGATTGTTTAGGAAGTATCACCATGACTTTCTAAAGGGGAAATTGTGTTCGACTAACTAGGTGGAGATTTTTGAAGCATAGCTAATTCCCTCAAAACCAGGCAACATCTTGGTAAACTGCTTCTATACCTTCTCCAAAGCCTCTACATCCTTCTGGCTGTGTGGAGACCAGAACTGTATACTATATTCCAAGCGTGGCCCAACTAAAGTTCTATACAGCTGCAACATCACTTGTCAATTTTTATACTCTTTGCCCCAACCGATGAAGGAAAGCATGCTATATGCCTTCTTGACCACCTTATCCACTTGTGTTGCTGTTTTCAGAGAACTGTGGTCCTGTACACCTAGATCCCTGTGTACGTTGATGCAAGCAAGGGTTCGGCAATTTACTGTATACTTGCCTCCTGCAGTTGACCTTCCAAAATATATCATCTCACATTGTCTGGATTAAACTCCACCTACTATTTCTCCACCCAAATCTCCAGCCTATGCATATCCTGCTGCTTCCTCTGGCAATTGTCCTCACTATTTGCAGCTCCCCAGTCTTTGTGTCATCTGCAAACTTACTAATCAGACTGCCTACATTCACCTTTATGTATATTTCAAACCATTGATCCCGTGGAACACCACTGGTCACAGATCTCCAGTCAGCAAAATACTCTCTGTCTACGACCAAGCTGGTTCTGTGTGCATCTTACCAGCTCACTGCAGAGCCCATGTGACTTCACCTTTTGTATCAGCCTACCGTGAGGTACCTTGTCAAAGGCTTTACTAAAGATCATGTAGACAACACCTACCACCCTGCCCTCATCAATCATCTTTGTCACTTCCTCAAAAACCTCAATCAAATTTGAGACATGACCCTTCCCAACACAGTCATGCTGCCAATTGTTAATAAGTCCAAATTTTGAGTGAAGCCTATGAGTAAGTGTGACTAAATCCTATGGCTCTGAATCTTCTCCAATAATTTCCCTACCAGTGACGTAAGGCTCACCGACCTGTAATATCCCTGTTGCCCTTCTTAAACAAAGGAACAACATTGGCTATTCTCCAGTCCTCTGGGACCTCTCCTGTGACTAAAGAGGAACAAATATATCATATAAGGCCCTAGCAATTTCCTCATTTGCCTCACCCAGCATTCTGGGATAGACCCCATAGATTCCGGGGATTCATCTATATTCATGCTTCGTTTAAAAAAAAACAAACACCACCTTCTTTTTTATATTGACACATCTTAGAATATCAATATACCATTCCAGAGACTCACCAAATACCATGTCCTTCTCCTTCATGAATACCAACACAAAGCATTTGTTAAGAATCTCATCCTTTTCCTCCAGCTCCACGCATAAATGCCCTCCTTTTTCCTCGAGTGGATCTACCCTTTCCCTTGCTAGCTTCATTCTCCTAATATGTGTAAAACATCTGGTGATTTTCCTTAATCCTGTTTGCCAGAGACATTTCATGGCCCCTTTAGGTCTTCCAATTCCTTGAGTTCTTTCCTGCTATCTTTGTATTCTTTGACAGATCTATCTGTCTTTGGTTTCCTAAACATTATATACACCTCCCTTCTCTTTTTGACTAAGGTCTCAATTTCTCTTATCAACTGAAGTTTCTGAATCTTACCATCCTTATCCTTTATTTTCACAGGAACATGCTGGCCTTTAACTCTAATCAAATGGCCTTTAAAAGATTCCCATATGTCAGATGTGCCCCCACCCCCCACCAACCCCCACTGTCTATATTCCACAGTCCCTGTCTAATATTGTGGTAGTTTACCTTCCCCAACTTAGTGCTTTCAACTGACAACTACTCACCTTAATTCAAAGTAACTCAAAATTTACAGAATTGTAGTCACTGTTCCCAAAATGCTTCCCCACTAAACTCTGAATACCTGCTGGCTCATTCCCTAATATAGGCTCTAGTATGGCCTCTTTCCTAGTCGTGCTATTCACATATTATTTCAAAAAACCATCCTGGACACACAGAATAAAATCTCCCCCATCCAAGCCTCTTGCACTACACAATTCCTAGTCAATACAGGGGAAGTTAAGATCATCCACCACAACAACCCCGTTGTTTTCACAATCCTGGCAAGGATTAAGAGCTAATTAACAGACAGAAAACAGGAGGAATAAATAGGCAATTCCTGGCAGGGTGCCACAAGGGCCAGTACCTGAGCCACAGCTGTTGACAATCTAAATGTGATTTGGACGTGGAGACAAACTAAGACTTCCAAATTTGCTGATGACGCAAAGCCAGGTGGGAATGCTCAGAGGCTGCAAGAAAGCTTCAAAGAGACTTGGACAGGCTACGCAAGTAGACAAGAACATAGCCAATGGAATATAATGCAAAAGAAGTGTGAAGTTGTCTTTTTTTTCCAAAAAGCAGACGGATAGAGTATTTTTTAAACATAGAGATGTTGAGAAGTGACAATGTCTAAATGAACATTGGTACCTTTGTTCATGAGACACACAAGCATGCAGGTGCAGCAAACACTTAGGAAGGTAAATGACACAATGACCTTCTGTGCAAGGGGATTTAAGTAAAAGATTAAAAATGTCTTGCTGCAATTGCATACATCCTTTGTAAGAATGCACCTAGAACACTGCATACAGTTTTGGCCTCCTTACCTAAAGAAGGACGTATTTACCTTGAAGGAAGTGCAACAGAGGTTTACTGGGTTAATACCTAGCATGGCGGGATTTTCTTAAGAGAAGAAATTGAGGAGACTCAACCTATAATCTCTGGAGTTTTGGAGAATGAGAGGTGATCTCATTGGAATCTCTTAGAGGATGTATGAAGATAGGACATTTCAGCAGTGAATCTTAAACCAGGGGGCTTAGTGTCAGAATAAGGAGTACCCACTTAAGACTGAGATGAAAAGGAATTTCGTCATTCAAAGGGTGATGAATCTTTGGAATTCTTTACCCCAAAGGTTTTGGAAGCTAAATAAAGAAGCACGTTCAAGACATGGATATGGGGATAGTGCAAGAAATGTGGTGAGGTAGGTAATCAGCCATGATCTAACTGAATGGCTTGTGGGTTGAATGACTTACTCCCAACTCTAATGTTCCCAAGTATGATCTTCCCTGTAGAATTTACGTAGTTAAACATTACCAGAAATTTACTATTAAATCCCTCAAAATCATTTCAAGTATTTTCTTTGCTATCATAGTTAAACTTAATTGGTCTATGAAACTTGCTTGAAAATCAATGACACCTTCCCAAGAACAACTAGCAACAGGCAATAAATGCTACTCCAGCCAGCAATGCTCACATCCCACGAGTGATTAAAAAACCCTTATTAAAGTCAGAGATAGTTAGCTCTTTACCAATCTAAAGAAATTTCTGCCAAATTTAAAATTAAAACCTCTTCACTAACGTTCAATTTAAAACCAACTAATCTTTGTCATCAGTACATTATTTGTATGCATCCAATCTTTTTGCCATTCTTGAAAACAGATCGATCTGAGCTGGGAAATATTCACGGTGAAAGATTCTGTTACTATTTTGTTCTCAATTTCCAGCTTCCTGTATTTATTAAATGGGCCAATAGCTTCATAGTTTTCCAATTACTGTTCCAAAGAATTAATTTCTCATCCCTTTGAAGTTACTGTTATAAATTATTTCTGTTCCAGGTGGTTGTCCCTTACTCTGTTGAATATTCCTTCAATTTTATTTCTTGGCTTGGAGACGTGAACAGTCAAATCCAAGTAACCACAAGACAACTGAAATATGAATAACAGTAGCTATGAACCATGCCAGGTCAGAAATAAGAAGGAACTCTAGAAGGGAACCGGCAAACAAAACATTTTTTTTTGCAATAAGTAGCAATCAGTATCTATGAGTACATAATCACAAGTTCTCTATTATTTTATCCAGTGTGTGCCAACACATTTGTGCAAAACAGTTTAAAGGGGCCACGTAAACCTTAAGGCCATCATGGACAGATATAGCACTGAAATGTGCACCATCCTGAGTGCTTCAACCCAAGACAGAAATACTTAACAAAAGCATGCATAATGCTTTCAATCAATAGCTTACAGAAATTGTTGCACATTTTCCCTAGAGCAGAGTTAGCTCCGACTTTCCAGGCAGGTTTTACTGTGAAATGCAAGGCCAATTTGCCCTTTGCTATGCTTTTCCATCACTCTCTTATTCAGCCAAGTCAAACTATTAACTTCAATAAATCAACTGCTTTGTTTAGTTCTTCTCTCAAAATAGAATTGACAATAGGTTTTGGTCCACTCTATGAAAAAAGAAAATGTTATTTTGCAGATTAGCTAAGCGATACTTCTTTCAAAGGCTTACAGAGAAGCTTTGTCAAATCTTCCTTAAAGATGATCAATTACATGAGAACTGCAAGGCTGATGAAGAGAAACATTAATGGTTTCTCTCCACAGGTGCTGTCTAACCTGCCGAGTCTTTCCATCATTTTCTACTTTTATTTCAACGGCACTGAAGCTCCTGTTTGCAGTGTAAATCAATCCCTTTACTCTGAAATCTAAATCATTGGTGCACGAAATTTAAAATGAATAGAATTTAAAAGAACATTCTAAGGGAATATTGGTAGGATACTGAATCAGGTAAAAATATGGCAGATCGAATTCCAGGTCAGTAAACATGATGCGGTATGTTTCATATTACAGTTCAAATAACGGAAGGCCAGGAGATGCAGAACAGAAGGACTTGAGATAAGGGTTCCCAATTCTTTAAAAGCACTGCCTTAAGATCACAAAAACAAAAATTAACTGAAAGCGGTGTTTTACAGCCAGGTGTATAGCATATAAAAGTGAAACTTTAATGAGGCATCTACATAAAAACACAAGAAAGACTACAATCAGAATACACTTTGCAATAGTGGGTGATTGGTTTGGGGAGGTGGACAGAAGGCAGGAATAGAGCAATACTGGAAAATGGAAGTTGGGGGGAGGGAAAGAGAGATCTCTATTGAGTTGGAAGGGAAAAAAAAAAAGAGTGGAAACTTACGAATAAACTTTTTTTGCATAGTTTCCAGCAATGCCTGGTGGGCATCTTCTGCTTGTAGGGCCACTGAACATTCCCGAGCCAACATAGTTCGCACAAGGTGCTCTCCACAACCTAGGAGGTGGAAATGTTTAAAATTGCAATTTTGAGAAAAGGTCACAAGTGGAGGAGAAACAGATAAGCAATGACATTAGCTCTTCAATACTATCTAATATGAAGCAAAGAGATGCAAAGCAAACAGTTCTTCTGGGGGAGAGAAGTTTATGTGAACCAAAGGATTTTTTTCTTTACAAGAATGCCACTCTAGTGTTTACTGGTTTAGCCTTCTGTCAGAACTCTATTCAGACCACAACAGAATTAGTCTTCAAAAATCTAAAAATCAATCTTGTACCAGAACCACAACAGAAGATAAATACACTGCTTAAGCATGACAGCACATATTCATTGGTCTGAAAACAATGAGAAGATTTTGGGGTGAAAAATTTGGAAAAAACCACCGAACGCAAGCTTAAACATTCATTGTGTGTCACACGAAAACTGTTTTTTCGTACATAGATCTTTCAATGGGTATGTTTTTCATGTTAGTAAATTGGAAACAGGTGCATGTAAACGAACACATACATATCTTGCATTAAGACTACACACGTTTTCAATTTTGAAACGTGAAAGAACCTCCTGTTATAGAGTAAAGAATAAAACTCAGTTCTATTCTGTCTGCCATATGATGAAGACTTTAAAGTTACGACATTTGTCTTTTTTAAAAAAGGCAAGTGCCTTGGTTATCTTTTACAGCAATTTGACGCAAGATATTTTTAAATGGAAACCACTCTGTTCAACACATAATATAGCAAATACCTGTGTTTGTACACTAAGTACCATCTTAAAAATAAAAGGAGTAAAACAGCATATGCTAGATTTCTAAAGTCATTCGAGAATGTTGAAATATGCATTAATAGCAGTACGGTGGAAGAGCATGTGATCTAACTATGTGCTCTTATACTTCGTATCACAGCAATCGGCAAAAGAACCAAAGGCAAGATGAGACAGGTCAAGGAAGCGGGATGAGGCTAGTAGGTAGGAGATGGGGGCGGGGCTTGAGGTGGAAGGACCGCATCCCGCCTCCTTGACCTGTCAGTCCTCCCTGGACCGACCTATCCCTGCCCTAACTCCCCACCTACACTCACCTTTACTGGCTCCAACCCCGCCTCCTTGACCTGTCTGTCTCCTCTCCACCTATCTTCTCCTTTATCCATCTTCAATCCGCATCCCCCTTTCTCCATATTTATTTCAGAATCCCCTTCCCCTCCCCCATTTCTGAAGAACGGTCTAGACCCGAAACATCAGCTTTCCTGCTCCTCGGCCTGCTGTGTTCATCCAGCTCTACACCTTGTTATCTCAGATTCTCCAGCATCTGCAGTTCCTACTATTTCTGTAACAAAGGCAAGATGAGATTTTTTCTTAACTTATAAAAAGTAGCAAATTCTTCCTTGGAATGCATTGCCTGAAAGGGTGGTGGAAGCTTATTCAGCGTCAAAAGGAATATGGAAATCGGGTTTTCCCCACATGTAGATTTTTAGTTTAAATGTCTAATGACGCTGGAGCTTGAGAGGCCGGAAGGAAATTCTTCTGCTACTCATAGCCCACCAGGTGCTGTGACAACACTTGCTTACTCCCTAAGGCTTGTATATTTTCCCAAGGTCCAGGAAAACGGACCAGTCACAGTTAAATCAACAAATCACATTAAATCAAAGGCTTTCACCCTCGTCATCACATTTAAAATGCCAACTTGCTTCTGGGACCAGATTGGCTGTCCACCCATTTATTCACTTCAGTAAAACCCAGAAACTGGCAGTCTGGAGTCAGACTCTCAATCAACTTGGAACTTCTTTTTTCATTGAAGCCTTTAACTGTGCCCAATTCAACTGCTCACCCATGCTAAAATTCTTCTTCCCATGTCTTTCATGTTGGCACCTGTTCAAACATTTAAGTGACATTTTGACCCCAAGGTGAGCTTTAGATTGGTTACCCAATGCAATCACGCAAACCGCTTATTTCCACCTCGACAACATCACCCATCTACGACTCCGTCTAAGGTTATCTGCTGCCGAATCCCTGAAATTTACCAAACCCAATGCAATTATCATTCTTAATGTTGTCAATCTCCTAATGATGATTCGCAAAGGTTTTGCTCTCATTTTAAAATTCATTTGGAACTTCTTCTGTGCTAATCCTCAAAGTCACTGTTTGATTTTCAAATTTCTAAGGTATGCCTTTTCCTACTTATTCCATTATTTGTAAAGCTTTCAGCGAACTTATAATTACAGAATAACATGCTCCTACTCTCTCCACTTTGGAAATTCTGTTTAAAACCTAGCTTGCACCGCTTCTTTAGTTACCTTTTCCAACAACTCCTGCACAAGTTTAACTCCCAACTTTGGGAGTATTTTCACGATCAGCACTGATGTAGATAATGGGTAAAAACAGTTTAAAAAAAACACTTGTGTTCTTTCACTTTCTTAACTTTCTTTGAGGTGCATACATGAATAAATACAGTTAAAAAGGGAAATGTCCCCATATGTAGCAAATACCTGATGTACTCACAGCTGTAGAATACACATTAGGACCACTTGTATTCTCTGCCCAGCACCCACAGCCATACACAGCTGCCTGTAAGCAAATTCAAGTGAGAGAGAGGGAAGAGAGAGAGATGACAACTTCTCATTGAATTTCAACAGAAAAAGAAACCGTGAAAAATAATCATTTTCTTTATTATATTACAGTGTATTCAAAACTACCTTGTAAATTCTTATTTTCAGAATGCAGAATAAAGCTTTAGCAATGAGAAACTACTCATACAATGATCTCATGTTCCACTGTATTCTTATATTTTATTACTTTTGCTCTATAGTATATTGCCTACAGGCTTTTTATTCCTTTCAAATGGAGCAGGCTCTTGCAATTCATTTTACACATGCAACACTTATGGTCTGGAATTTTTTCACCCAATATAGCAAGAAAACAGTTTTCGTGAGGAAGACAAGCCTCCCATGAACCAAACCCAGTATTCTTAGCATCATGCTTCATTCACGGCATTGCTATGTGGGCAATGACATACCGGAAAAAACCAGACCAGAGATTCTGTGAATACCCACTCTTTGTCTAGTCAACTCAAATTGCTCAAATCAGCAAGAGCCCACAACTCATTTTTCTAGAGATAGTAGGAACTGCCGATGCTGGAGAATCTGAGATAACAAGGTGTAGAGCTGGATGAACACAGCAGGCCAAGCAGCATCAGAGAAGCAGTTTAAATGGGTATCTTTAGTTGCAACATTATAGATAGTACCTTGCTCTGCTTTATAGCTTCTCAATATAACTTGACTTGCACAATTACACAAGCAGTTTCATAGCATGAAAAGGTTTTGAATGTTTAGAAATTCTATCAGCAGCTATTGACTAAAGTCAGTTATGTATCTGTCATCATTTTAAAAGGTATCCATGATCATTAACAAGGCAACGATGTTAATCATTTTTAATATTTACATAGCTAAGAGGTGACTTGCAGTCCCTGTCACTACCTGGCAGCAGCTAAAATCATGTTGGCCTGTTTGGCATAAGCCCTGGGCAGAAAACTGGCACCTCAAGTGTGCGCTTATTGGTTTTCAGAAAAGGCATTAACTGAAGGTTAGACATACATAACCATTGTTGCTTAAAAGTGCAAAAATTTGATTAGATTGAAATAAGGCTTTCAAGAGTGGATTAGAGACAACTTGTCTGCATGGTGGAATTCAAACTCATGTCCTCAAAACATTAGCCTGAGGTTCTAGATTACTAGTCTAGTGACATTGCCAAACACCACCATCTCAAATCAAAAACATCATACTGAAATCTCATCATTATTTGGTAATATTTCTTCTGCACTAGCTGATTAAATAAACAAACATGAGTTAATAAGTACCCAGGTAAGGATTAATATCCTAAAATAACAATTTCAAAACTAAGCTTTTCAACACAAAATATTTCAACAATATGATTTATATCCATGATCCCCACTTGTTTTGCTACTGAATACTAATAGTGAAAATGCTTTGTTAGGTTTTATTTCCTGACTGAAACCAGGGGAACAAGATATTTAGCACTTTAACATAAATATCTTATTCAGAAAAATATATTTACTTGACCAACTCTCCCAGGATGCTTCATTGCCAACCCACCACTGGAAACAGCAGCAGCAACATTTCCTTCATGATCCACAACTACTGCCCCAACAGTATCTAGTGAAGCTGTGTCATTAGTCTAAAAACAGAAACAAAGACCCGAATAAGTAGACATCCAGAATCTGGAGAAGACACGACATATCATAAATTCCAAAAAAAGAACTTCATACATTTAAGTCTTTCAGAAACATCCTTAAGCATCCTAAAGATTTGCAGGAGTTACTTCTGAACTTTGCCAATGTAGTGCTATAGGCCAGTGTGGAAGTCATACAACAAAAAGTAAATGTGGTAAATCACCATATAAATTATTTTAGCACTGTTAAGTGAAGGTCAGATGTCAGCCAGGAAACCAAAATAGTAATTTTATTTTGACAAGTACTAAACAATACATTTTAGATATTCATTCACGGGATTTGGGCATCGCCAGCAAAGCTAGCATTTATTGTCCATCTCCAACTGCCCAATATAGTTCCAAGTCAGGATGATATATGGCCTAGACGGGAACTCGCAGGTGGTATCCTCATGCATCTGTTGGCCCTTTCCATCTAGATAGCGGCAGTTACAGTTTGAAAGGTTGCTGTCAGAGGAGCCTTGTTGAATTGCTGTAGTGCATCTTGAAGATGGGGTACACTGCTGCCATTGTGCATTGACACACTATCCACCAATTAAGTGTATTGCTTTGCCTTGAATGGTGTCAAGCATCTTGTATTGTCGGAGCTGCACTCACCCAAATAAGCAGAGAGTATTCCATCACAGTCTTGACATCTGCCTTGTTGAAGGTGAACAGGCTTTGGGGAGACAGGAGGCAAGATACTGGGTGAAGGATTGCGAGCTGTTGACCTGCTCTTGTAGCCACAGCATTGTTACAGCTGGTCCAGTTCAGCTTCTGGTCAATGGTAATCCCAGTATGTTGACAGTGGAGGGATTCAGCAATGGCAATGTGATTGAATTTCAAGGAGTGATAGGCAGATTCTCGTGTGTGGCAAAAATGTTCCTTACCACTTATTAACATAGGTTGAATGTTGTCTAGTTCTTGCTCCATATGGACAAGGACTGCTTCAGTATCTAAAGTGTTGCCAATGGTGCTGAACATTGTTGAATCATCAGCAAATATCCTCACTTTTGATTTTATGATACATTAAGGCCAGTGACGAAATAGCTGAAGATACTATCCTGAGGAACTCCTGCAGTAATGTCCTTTAGCTCAGATGAATGGCCTCTAACAACCCTAATTATCTTGCTTTGTGCTAGGTACATTGTTGGCCAGTGGAGAATTTCTCTCCTCCTTACCCCACCATCACCAAAACTCTGTGACTTCAGTTTTACTACAGCTTGTCAATGCCATACTCAGCCAAAAAATTGACAACAAAGGTAATTTCTCTCAGCTCACCTCTGGCATTCAGCTCTTTTGTCCATGCTTGGATCAAGGCCTTAAGGAGGATAGGAGCAACGCTCCTGCTATGTCCTCCCAATGTTTTGTGCACAGCAAACAGTGTCAGCACACTGTGCGCGGACCTGACATCAAGTTCCGGAAGTGATGCCACACAAGGGCCTCAGAGGCCTGTGCTGCTGGGAAGAAAATGCCAGTCAGAGTCCAGGTGTTGATGATCCCAGTTGATGGTAATACCAGATAAATCACTTTGCAGAGTGAAACCTGGCTTGATAGATCATCAGTTTAGTTTTTGCAGATTACCATGATGATTAGTCACTGGATATTTACACACTAGATTGCAAATATTCCGTAACAAAAGAGCACCAGTTGATTACACTTGCAAAATAAAAAAAAGTCTATAAAATCAGACAGATTAGATCATAATATCAACAACAAAATAAGGTTTCAATCTGTTTTCCTGTACTACTGGTTTACAGATACTCAAGCTCTAGAAAACTATCAATGCTACCTCAAAACGTTCAAATTCTTAGTTAGGTTGACTCATGTTAGCCTTCTCCTTGGACTGCTGAGATAAGTTGATGACTTCTTTGAGAATCTATTGGTAAGAACCTTTTTCTCCCAAATTCTAGTGGCCTAAAGCCCTCTTCAGTAATGATGACCTTTGTACACATTCTTACAATTTGGAAGTCTCACAAACTAGGATCGCTGGTTCCCTGATCTGAAAACATTTCTCTTGCCATGAGGAAACCGTTCTCCTTTCTGAATTGAAGGGGAAACTAAACCTAGTGGCCTCTGATTTGCTTTTCCCTGTCTGTCAAACTCAGCAGTATAAATAGTCCATCCACTAATATCACAGGTGCCCTGCTAGGGAATTGCTTGAATCATGCGCCTTCCTAGAAATGGTCTCTCTCTTTCACTGTTTCAAATGACCTTGTAACTTCTTTACAAAGTTGCTTTCATAGAACCAAACAATACATCTACTGCTATTTTAGACATTCAAATTATAAATGATATGCACAGAGTTTTGGCACACAATCCCTTCAATAACTGCTTGAGATCACAAGGCACAAATCAAATTGACTGAAGATGTGTCATGCTGGGGCCTCAGGAGAAAGAGGATATGCATCATCCACTTGAATTGGATGAAGAAGTTGCACTTTGGCATCAAAAGATGGTGCCTTCTCTTAACTGCAGCAGAACTAAGGGAGTGCTGCATTAAGCACCAATGTAAATTCATTGGAGTGGAGCAGGAGCACAATTTATTTTTCTGTAAAGGCATGTGACAATCAAGCCGAGCGTCTCCAGACCTAAAGGAATTTACGGAATTCAGCTGACAACAAATCTGTTATTTGAGTGAGGCGAATAAATTTCTATGGTTCAAAAAAAGGGATAGAACTGTTCAGAAAGAGACATTTTCACTGGGGTTTGTGGAATATTTCTCTTGATTTCATGCTCCACTAAAACTTTTGTGTTTTAAACACAAATCTGTTGCTATCCAGGAGTATATTCAATTTTCTGTTCACTAATATTTTGATGTCAAAGTTAGCGCTTTTTATTAAACAACCTACTTTAAAACTCCCAAAAAGCATGGATGTATCTTCAATTCTCTGATGTCGTGCAATTCCTAACTTTTGTAATACTTATCTTTCCTCATTCATTTTAAGTCAATAAAATATTTGATTTCAAATATTATAGTAGAAGTGGTTGATTCAGCAATACTAGAATTTAGAAACATGCACTGCGTTGTGCCCTAGGTGCACAGAGCAGTGAAAATAGTACAACAGAATTTCTCGGCAAAAGCAGTCGAGTGTTTAGAGCTAAAGTCATAAAATTAAATGGGCAGCAATAAATTAAGTTAGACCAAGAACTCCTCTTACTGCCTTTTATTCAAGGGAACTTGAAAACAAATAGGGAAATTATTCTATAGTTATACAGAGAACTAGTTTCCATTTATAAGAGTGTATAGTTCTGTGGTCCACACCTCAAAGGATATACTGGTTGCTGGGGAGATGCAGTACAGATTCACTGGAGTGTTAGTGAAGCTAATGTGTAGACCAGGCTATTATTCCCAATTAAAGAAAATATTGGGGTGTGAGGCAGGGTGGTAGATCTAATGCAAACTTTTCAGAGGAATAGAAAGGACTTGATAGGGTACATAGAGAAATTATTTCCTGTCGGGAGTCCTGAACAAATGGGTGTAAACATAAAGTTTTATCTCAGCCATTAAGGAATGACATCAGGTAAAAATTCTCCACAAAGAGGAGGAGAAATCTGGAACTCACTTCAAAAGCTTTTGAGGTTAGGCCCATTGAAAAATTTGAAGAAAAAGATCAAGACTATTACAAAGATTGTTGTTCCTCACCACCTCAGATATTCAGGCTGACAAGTAGCAACTAACAATTGCACCACTCATGTGCCAGGCAATGACCACCTCCAACAAGAGGAAAGCTCACCATCACCCTGGGCATTCAGTGGCATTGCCATCACTGAATCCCCTACTCCCAAAACCCTGAAGATTGCTGTTGATCTGATATGCAACTGGACTAGCTACAGAAATGCTATGGCTACAAGAGCAAGTCACAGGCTAGGAATCCTGCTACAAATAACTCACCTCCTGACTCCCCAAAGCCTGTCCAGCATCTACAAAGTGCAAGTCAGGAGTGTAATGAAATACTCCCCACTTGCCTTTGATAACTGCAGCTACAACAATGCTCAAGAAGCTTAACACCATCCAGGACAAAGCAGCCTGCTTGACTGGCATCCCATCCACAAACATCAGACCCTCCACCAGTGACACACAGTAGCTACACTGTGCATCATCTACAAGATATACTGCAGAAATTCACCAAGGCTCTTTAAACAGCACCTTCCAAATCCATGATCACAATCACTTAGAAAGACAAGAACAGCAGATACACGGGAACAAGTTCCCCTCCAAGCCATTCACCATCCTGGCTTTGAAAGACATCACCATTCCTTCAGTGTCACTAGGTCAAAAATCCTGAAACTTCCTCCCTAACAACACTGTGGGTCTACTCACACCAAATGGATTGCAGCAGTTCATCACCACCTTCTCAAGGGCAACTAAGAACAGGCAATAAATGGTGGTCGATCCAATGACACCCAAAACCTATGAAGGTATTTTAAAAAACTGAATGGTGTAATAGGCCTGCGGAGTTGAACGACTGGTTTCTCTTATGTTCCCACAATAATGGTATGAGACAATTTATTTATTCCACATTTAATCGTGGGTTTACAAATTAAATATTTTGATGACCATACTGTTACATATTTCTAAGTGAACTGCAAACCATTAACCATTTTCCTTTGAGTCTCCATTTGGTTAACAAGTGGCAATGAAATTTCATTTTTGAACAGTACACTCAATAATATTTCTTCTACCAGTGCGGAATGAATCTTGACCAACATTTAATTGAATAACATTTTTGTTAGAATAGCCTTTCCACAAATTTGAAGGGAAAATTCTAGTTGCCTTGGACCTATTTACCTATTAAAGCCTAGCACAAAGCAAGTGCTTCCTGTACAAATTGATGCTGATTAATGAACAAATGTACAATATTCCAAATACTAAGCTGTTAAGTTGACAAGATTAAATGACTAATAACAAAGAAGAGCCCAATAAACTAGAAGAAAACCTTAACATAAAATACTGTGGCACAGCAATT